GTTCAAGCAACATATATTTCACAGCTTGCCGTCGTCTGCGTACATTGCTGATCCAGATATCCTCCACAAGCAAGTACAGTTTCCTTGACACCTTGATTGAAAAACGTGAGCGTATGTGTATTTCTTGCTGTCAGCATGCTGGCCGCAGCGGCGAACGTGCGAGAAACAGGATCGAACAGGTCTACCGAACTCAAGCTCTGAGATGAGGATGAGCTTCGTCCTCCAACGATCAGAACTCGTTTCGAATCGGGTAAATACACAGCTCTATGATCGGCTCGATCCGCATTCATATGTGCTTCAAGAAGACTGAATGTACTTGTCATTGGATCGAAAAGTTCACATGAAGCCGTTGTTTTAGAGTTAGTGTCATACCCACCGCAGAGTAAGACTTGATTGATGCTTGGTATATACGTTGATGTATGTCGCGTTCGGCTCCGAATCATCTTTGAAGAAAGTGAAACAAACGTGTTGCTGGCCTCATCGTAGCGATCTGCCAAGTTAGTGGTAGTACTGAACGAATCATTTTTCTGCCCACCCGTGATAAGGACACGATATGTAGTTTCAAACAATGATACAGCATGGTTCTGTCGTCCAATACTCATAGTACCATTAACTAAAACAATTGAAGATGACCTCTGATCGAACACTTGACCTTGTGCCGTAGCTTCTGAAGTACCAGTCTCAGTGCCACCTGTCAAGAGCACGCGTCCGTAGCCGGAGAAAAACGGCGCATCAGAAGAACAATTACTCACCGGTATAAGCATTTTAGCCTTGACACCGACCGAATCTGTAATTGGATTGTAGATTTCAGCATTGGCATGTGGATAGCCACTGACACTCAAACCTCCAATGAACAACATATCACCATTGTTGAGAAGGACAGCACTGGCTCCAGCACGGGGAGAAGACAGACCGCGCCCGAACCCCACAATACAGTTGCACGAGCGAAGGAACTTGTCAACATCATTTAGAACATTGGTATTGGTATCGTACCCTCCGGCAAGAACGACAGATTCTTCATTAAGTATGTAGGTTGCGGAATGTAAAGCTCGAGATCGGGTCATGTTTCCTACAG